CACGATCAGACGTGCACTTCTTGCGTAGATTTTTGTGTGGAATGCACTATATACTCTCTTTATAGAGGATAGTTTCCTCTTTCTAACTACCTATCAATCATTGACTCACGATTTTTTTTGACAATTTTATCACACTATCAATAAATAGTGGATTAGAATTGCATAAATTGATCGTGCATAACGAGGAGGTGTCACAATCAGACGTGCAATTCTTGCGTAGATTTTTTTGTGGAATGCACTATATACCACAGTTATAGAGGACAGTTTCCCCTTTCCAACGACCTATCAGTCAATGACCTACGATTTTTTTTGACAGTCTCATCACACTATCAATGAACAGTAGATTAGAATTGCATAAATGGATCGTGCATCACGAAGAGGTGTCACAATCAGACGTGCACTTATTGCGTAGATTTTTTTGTGGAATGCACTATATACCATGGTTATAGAGGACAGTTTCTCCTTTCCAAAGACGTATCAAACACTGACCCACGATTTTTTTTGACAGTTTTATCACACTATCAATGAACGGTAAATTAGAAGTGCATACGTTGATGCTGCATCATGGCGAGGTGTTACAATCAGACTTGCATCGGGTGTGTCGATTTTTTTGTGAAATACACTTTACGATGCTGTTACAAAGGAATGTAAAACCTTTCAAACGAGCTGCCACACGACGACTTACTATTTTTCTTCAGCATCTTACCACACGATCAATAAACAATGCAACATGACTGCATGCATAGTTCGTTCCAGTTCATGATCTATTTCGAATGATCCCAATGTTACTTCTGTATGTATCGGAAGTATCCACGAGTAGTTCTACATAGATCATATTCTCGTGATATGAAAAATGGTCCACCTACTTTACCGCAGACAATATTCCCGGCAGTGCACGTCACATGCAACGTCGAGTTTCAGCAGACCTGATTTGTGCGACTGTTGCAATCGACTGCATCGACGTCGTCTCTAATACAGTGACTGCAGGTCCGCGGGCGATCTCTACTAATAGATGAGTCTATCTACCTCATTACCATACCGTAGCAACCCGATGTTAATGAAGTCAAAATCTATCGGCACCGATGCGATTTTCCACCGGAATCTCTACGGCGAAGAGATCCAACAACGTGCGAATTTATATATTTCGATGATAATCGAATCTTTTCGCTCTGGGAAGACCGAGATGCAGCGGGAAGAGGGTTTCGGTCGAACACAACGACTATTTGCGCCATTAAGTCTGACAATGAGACCACAGTCCCCGGAGTCAGGGAAATGAAACGTCGCCTTTGTGTTATACAGTCGGGTACCGAGGAGCGCTCAGCTTAAATGGCCCCTTCCGCTCTTTTTCCATCCCTCCATCCAGCCTTTCAAAAGCCGCGGAAGCGAAAACGCGACCAGGCTGCGTGATGCACGAGCCCTGGTTGCGTGCACGCGCAACACGTACACAACTTGGACCCTGCACTCTCGATTCACCAATCCAAGCCCTACGAACCACGGGCAACGTCCGCGAGCTCGGATATTTTCTATCCCCGACGGAAATCTTTGGCCAACCACTTCGCTGTTAAAACTTCATACTTGATACTTGGTACTTGGTACTTCATACTTGATACTTAATACTTAGTACTTAGTACTTGATACTTGATACTTGACACTTGACATTTGACATTTGACACTTGGTACTTGATACTTGGTACTTGATACTTGATACTTGATACTTGATACTTGATACTTCACACTTGATACTTGATACTTGATACTTGATACTTGATACTTGATACTTGATACTTGTCACTTGACACTTGACATTTGACACTTGACACTTGACACTTGGTACTTGATAGTCGATACTTGATATTTGGTACTTGATACTTGATATTGGTACTTGATACTTGATACTTGATACTTGATACTTGATACTTGATACTTGTCACTTGACACTTGACATTTGACACTTGACACTTGACACTTGGTACTTGATAGTCGATACTTGATATTTGGTACTTGATACTTGATATTGGTACTTGATACTTGATACTTGATACTTGATACTTGATACTTGATACTTGGTGCTTGGTACTTCATACTTTGTACTGTATATTTAATACTTTATAATTTATACTTTATACTTTACACTTGATACTGATACTTGATACCATTTTTTAACTTCGAATCCAAAATAATGTCTCTAACTTACAGTATTTCCATTCTGTATATGACTTAAGCACATTTTATTCACATGAATTTGAGTTTTGTGGCTGCTGTAACAATTACACTTTTAACAGTCATTTTTAAATATAAACAACATAAATGTAACAATTTTAAGTGGTAAATCGGTACCTAATATTTAATATACAATACCTGTTATTCAATATTCAATACGCAACAAAATGATATATATTTTATGATAAATAATAAAAAAGGAATATGTTTTACAACAGTTATAATTCATTTCTGCTATCAAGAAAAACTTCTGACAACTTTCAAGGAACAAAGCAACTAGATAAATTTAAATATTAAATTTCTTATTCAACAGCATAAATTTTCCAAGCCCCAAAATTGCCGCGATTTAAATAAAAATCCTGCGCCAAGTCCAGCCGCCATAAGGAGGACTCTTACCCCCATAAATAGCCGAGCCCCATCCCAGATTATCGTGTCTGGTGGCGCCATCTGGTGACACTCGTCTGAGCACCATGTTGCAGCTCGACGTCAGCCGTATACGTGGAAGTCTTTCGTCGTAAACAGGCTGACAATGTTGAACTTGGCAGGAACTTGTAACATTAGACGCGACCCAGTACGCGGATTATTGCATGCACCAGGTTGCAGAGTAGTGTCCTCCGCAGATTCCGGGGCTCGGTTTAAGTAAAAACGAAGTTGCAGAGTCGCGGGGCGGGGGACACCGGGCTTTTAAATACCGCGTCGCGTGTCATGTTTACTCTAATTACGGCAGTTGGAATACTTTCGTGACCCACTCCCTCCTCCGGCCAGAACTCGGATAATTAATTTCTTCCCGCGCGGCGCACTATGGGGCGGAAAGCACCCGAACGCTGTGAAAAATATATTCCGGTTGAAATCTCACGTTTGTATCATAATTTTTCGATCTTTTTCTGCAACGGAGTTTTAGGTGCAATTAAATTTATTTAATGACACCTATCGGTGACGATGTAATTTTCAAAGACAAATACTAAATATGCAAATATTCAAGAATACAATAACCAATACGATATATACAAGATTAAATATTCAATCTATAAGAACAAATATTATGTTTGCAAGAATAAATATTTGGTATACGATAACGAGTATTATATACACAAGAATAAATATTCAATATACGATAATAAATGTTATATGTTCAAGAACAAATATTCAATATATGATATTAATGCATCGAGATAAAATTGTGCATAATTTTACTACACGTCCAGTTCACTAATTTCCATCAGCAATTAGTTGAGCCAAGAATCAACAGCACTGTAAACAATAATTCTATATCTCAGTGTATATATTTCATTTAGTTTATAATTTTCTCTTTTGAGCTTCTTTGAAATTGTGTAACCGTGTTATTTAATTAATAAAAATGATAAAAATTCCACCACAATCTAGCACGAACGGTCAACTAACCGTACAGCTTTGTTTTTGAACGTGAGGCCAATTATGCGACGGGACTTTTTGCCGTTTTCGGGCGTTCGTTGTCGCGCAGTGAGGCGGCGCGAGTAAATTTCGCAAGAATATATTTGTAAAGAGTGTCGGCTGAGCTCAAGCTGGCGCCCACGGTGTATCTGCTGATCCGCTTTGCGACTTTACGACTGGATCTGCTCGTCACCGTAGGATATCAAAGAGGATCGATTGACGCGCCGTTCAGAATTCTATTTTCCATCGATTACGGAATTTTATTACAGTCCCCGACGGACGGGGCTCGGTCGCAGCGGCGCGACGTAACCCTATCAACCGCGATTCCAAGGCGATTATGCCATTTAAGCTGATCGAATCGCGGCGAACAATCTTGTAAAAATATCTACTTAAGAGCCCGGCTCGCCGCACACTGTGACAACCCACAGACATAGAAGAAAAGCCATATACGTATATTAATTTTAGAGGTTTACATCCACTAAAACTGACGCTTTAATATCGAAGTGTGCAGTTCACAAGTGGAAAATTTAGATTCCGAAAAGACTAAACTCGAGGGCTTCAGTTGTAGAAATATCCGTTTTGCAGTTATCGCGGAGATATTTGCAATATTGCAAATTGGTGGTGAATTGGTTTCCAAACATCCGCATTTAACAGCTGTATTCTATGATCATGTTTTTATTTATAATTCATATTTTTATTCATAATATTTTGTTTAAATAATGTCCCGTAAGAAATTCTGTGAAATTGTTATGCCATGAAAATTCAGGCTATGAATTGCAAAGACTTCAATGAGAAAATATTTTCCAACTCCCTTTTGGGTGCTCTCTGCTCCATGGTGGCCCACGAAAACTTAACCTAACGCGGTCTTTCTTATCTTTTCAGAACTGCTATGGGTCCCAGTGCGCGCGGCCTTCGTACTAGGACTGTTAGATGCAGCGCAGCATCAGCCAGGTATGTCATTCCTTGTATTCATACTTGTTAGCCATCTACTTGGCNTGCAGTTCACAAGTGGAAAATTTAGATTCCGAAAAGACTAAACTCGAGGGCTTCAGTTGTAGAAATATCCGTTTTGCAGTTATCGCGGAGATATTTGCAATATTGCAAATTGGTGGTGAATTGGTTTCCAAACATCCGCATTTAACAGCTGTATTCTATGATCATGTTTTTATTTATAATTCATATTTTTATTCATAATATTTTGTTTAAATAATGTCCCGTAAGAAATTCTGTGAAATTGTTATGCCATGAAAATTCAGGCTATGAATTGCAAAGACTTCAATGAGAAAATATTTTCCAACTCCCTTTTGGGTGCTCTCTGCTCCATGGTGGCCCACGAAAACTTAACCTAACGCGGTCTTTCTTATCTTTTCAGAACTGCTATGGGTCCCAGTGCGCGCGGCCTTCGTACTAGGACTGTTAGATGCAGCGCAGCATCAGCCAGGTATGTCATTCCTTGTATTCATACTTGTTAGCCATCTACTTGGCTCGGCCGGAAACTTTGGGGGATGAAGGAACCGGGAAAGATGGCGTTGGGTGTCCAGCAAGGACTTAGCGGGACTATCTGGGTAGCTATTTAGCTGCCTAGCTTTCTGATGGACCGGCAGCATGTCTGCCTTACTGTTAACTTAGTTCGCCACCCTACTACCTACCTACATTATTGATGGATTCATCGGCAAGCCTACTTGGCCGTTTTGATCTCTAGTTGGCTACTCAGCTTTCTGCTGCACTAGGCTAGGTAACTAGACGGGAGATTAGATAATCAGTTAGCTACCTAGCAGCTTGTTAGTTCATTTCGTATCTTATTAATGAAACGTGCCGTTAAGACTGTCTTGCTACCTAGCTATTTTACGGACTTACCTGACGGACTCGTCAGTGAACCGAGTAAGCTACTCGATAGCAAACTAGCAATTTAGCAGACAACCTAATTAGTTGCCTATCCATCAAACTTACTACCTGTGATTTAGCTAACTGTCCGTCTAGGCTGCAAACTAGTTAGCTATCTACCTAGTCAACTAGTTCGTTAGTCAGTTAATTGTCTATTTTACTATTGACGAGACAGGTCGCCACGCCTGTTCAGCTAGGTAGCTACCTTAGATACCTGATGGACTCTTCAGTGAGCCAGTTAGTCGGTGTCAAACTAGCTATTTAGTTACTTACGAGCTAGCTACCTCTATTCATTCAACTTGACGCCCAGTTATTCAGCCGGTTGTCCCTCCTGGTTGCAAGCTAGCTAACTAGCTCCATCAATAAAGTAGGTAGCTTACTTTATTGATGGATTCATTGTTATATCTTACTAATGGTACATATCATCAACATTGATCCAGCTGACTAGCTACCTAGTTAGCTGACTAGTTAGCTAGCTAACCAATCAGCTACTCACCTAGCTAGCTAACCAGTTAGCTACCCACCTCGCTGGCTAACCAGTTAGCTACCCATCTAGCTAGCTCAATAGTTAGCTACCCACCTAGCTAACTAACCAATCAGCTACCCACCTAGCTAGCTAACCAGCTAGCTACCGACCTAATTAGCTCGCCAGTTAATTGCGTATTTTATAAATCAGACATATCATTATCTATCTAGTTATCTACCTCCACATCTCGCAAACCAGTCAGGCACCCGACGGACTCGCCAGCCAGCGACTGCCCACCAAACTATCTATTTAGTAGATGACCCAGTTAGCTACCCGAGCCTTTCACCCAGTTATTCATCCAGCTATCCACTCAGCTGTTTAACTACCTAGTTAACCACCTGGCGAACCGTGGCAGCACACCTTCAAGAATCGTTATTGGAAAGAAGGAGGGTAGCGATGAATAGGAGGGTCAGTTCATTCAGCGAACAGTCTCTAAAAAGTTCCGTCCAATTTCCCAGGGTTTCACTGTTCCCTCGGACTCTTTAAGCCCGAGTTCCGGTAGAACGATCAGCCCCTGCCAAATATCGGTCGGCCGCCGGTAATAAAAACGTCCGGAAGAACTAGAGTCGGCTGCCTGGGCCGGATGAGGAGGAGGAGATGGAGGAGGGGGGTTGAGCGCGGGGTCCCCGGGGTGGTAAGGGTTGAAATTCGTAAGCGTGTAGCTATTACGAGCGGATCGTGTCCCGGCGGCGAAAGAACGTGCTTTGTGTCGGCTGTCTCCTCTTGTCAGTTTCAACGGTGGCGTCGCGCGTCACACAGAGAGATATACATATAATGGATTCGCCTTTGTGTCTGCGCCGTGGCCGTGGTCATTTTTGCCGTGTCTCGGCGACACAGCAGTCTCGAGAGCGGTGTCAGGGGCTGTTTTATCGGACGGTATCTGACGGTTGCGCGTTTCGCGACCCGGCCCGACCCGACCCGACCCGACCCGACCAGTCAGCCGGTCCCGAGACCGGGGCGCGATCGCAAAAAGGCCGATTGATTTGCCAATCGTGGCCCGGTCCCTATCGGGGCACATTCGTGTCCCGAGCTATTGTCAGCCAATTGTAAGAGAATCGTTGCCGGAGCCAGCGCTTGCCAGCGACCAAGGATTCGCTTTCTTTTGCATTCGCTGAATGGAGCAGAAGCAGCAGGCTTCCCGAGGTTTCTTTTGCACCCTGCTGCCGTCTTTTTCATCCCTCGCCTCCGGTGGATGTTGCTGCCTTTCCCCCTCCCCTCGCCTCTCCGCCGAACGGTCTTTTCACTTCCACTGTCCCCCACCCTGCGGCGTTCGCCTAGCTCCGTCCTCGTCCGCTTCCTTCCCCGCCTTTGTCGTCGCTCGTATTTTCCGTTTTTTTTTCGCCTCCCTCCGTCGACGCGTCGACGACCCTTCGATATCGGGACCTGATACGATCCACCACGGTAATGGCGAATTATTAAGCGTTCGCGCCGTTCTCGTTTGTCGCACCGCGCCCCGTCAATGGATATTTTTAACGCCTGCTTGATCGCGCCGTTACGCCGCTCCTCGACGAGAACACCAGGAAATAAATTCCCGATCGCTTCCATTTCATTCGAAAATTTTTATTGCCAATCTTCCGCGTACCATTGTCTCCCCCGCGCATCGAACACCGTACGCGTTATCGGAAGTCGGCATGATGAGGACTGGATATGATAGTACTGGAATCTTTTCGAAACTTTCTGGATACTTTTTCTGATGTTCAAACGGTGGGTTAGAATTTTTTCATTAAAAAATATGCAATGGGCGTTGCGCTTCAGGAATTGACAGAAAGAGGAGTGCCTCCTTGACGCGGTGATTTTTACGAATTTTTCTAGAACAAAGTAGACGGCGAATCTTGTTGAAACTTTTTTAGTACTTTCTCTCATGTTCGAAGAGCGAGTACGAATTTTTTCATCAGAAAGTATGCAGTGGTTGTCATTTGAAAATTGACAAAGAGGGGAGTACCCCCTTGACACTGCAAAATGTCAGACGACCTTTACGATTCTTTCTCTTGAACTTTTGTCTTTTGCAACTTTGTGGTTACTTTTTGTTATAAATAAAGAGTCAGTATGAATATTAGCATCTCTATAGCACCCCTTGACATAACCTTGATGCTCTAAAAAGACCGGCGATATTTATGATTTTCTTACTAACCAATCGTAAATCGAATCTCCTTGAAACTCCGCAAATAATTCACACTGTATCTAAAGATCCCGAACTAATTTTCACGTCGAATAATATTCCCAGACAGTTGATATACAGGGCGTCCCAAAATTATGGTATCTCCGGGAAATGATGGATTCCTGGGGTGATTTGAAGTAACCTTTTCCTGAGCGAAAATGCAATCCGCGGCTTCGTTTACGAGTTATTAGCGAAAAACGTTGACCAATGAGAGACGAGCTCGGCTGGCGCGTGACGGCCGAACCAATAAGCGGAACTGAGCTTCGCGCGCTCGTTGGCTGGGCCGACTCGCGCCAGCCGAGCTCGCCTCTTATTGGTCAAGTGTTTTTCGTCAATAACTCGTAAACGAAGCCGCGAAGAAAATTGTTGCAAAGGAAAAAGTTACTTGAAATGATCTCAGGAACCCTTATTTCTCGCAAGAACCATAATTTTGAGAAATCCTGTATAGAAACGTGAACGTATCCAGATCTCCGTAGCAGCGAAAAATGAATTTCGCTAGCGGATCACGATAGCGTGTTTAACTAGCCCTCGGATTCCATGTTTGTCGACTCGAATAGCCGTATCTGCGGGCCGGTATCGATTCCCGGTATTACTCATGCTCGCTTGTGTTTGATATAATCCGCAGAAAGTTCTCAGGGCCTGTGTGTCGTTGGTCCGATCGCGGCCGGGTTTCAACGATGAATTCTGAACTCGGTCCCGGAGCCAAGCGGATGTCCAGCCGCGCGTTTGCCGTTCCAATGTTTGGCCGGCCGTGCCGTTAGCTTCGCGGATCCCACCGATAAAGTAGCTCGGCAGTTGGCGGCGCGGCGATAGATCTTTCGAGCGTTCGAGTTCCTCGAAATCTGCGCTTTTACGTGGTCGTTTCTTCGCCGTAAATCTCGCGGCTCGCCCAGACGCCGGCTCGCCTCGACTCCAGGAACCGTCTAATTAGATTTCTATCCAATTACCCGTTTCGGTAGCACAGAAACAGGAGAACGATCGTCGAAAGTGGGGAAATTAGCGTGTCAGCGAGGCGCGAGCCCGGCCCCGAGCTGTCAATGGACAAGATTCAAAAACGCTACTGGCTTCGGATCTATTCGAAGCTACGGGCATGACGTGTTAAAATGTCTGATTAATCATATTTAGCAACGAAATGTTTTAATAAATTGAAAGGGAGATCGATCATAACGCAGCTTGTTTATATTGCTTTATGAATAAAAGGCTAATTTATAATGTGAGACTTGTGGAAAATAATGGTCAAGGGTTATACGATTCTAATTAATTTATTGAAATTTTGTGGTGCTTGTATGCCACGAAATAATTAGGCTCGATTTATTTTCCTACAGTTTAGATAAGGTTTTAAGCGAAACGACACACAATATTCTGCGATTTTTATTCAGATATATTTATATTAAATAGTATATATTGATATTCTAAACGTAACTTTGACATAGCCTTGGCATAATCTTGACATAACCTTGGCATATCCATGACCTAGCCCTAAACTATATACGNGCGAAAAACGTTGACCAATGAGAGACGAGCTCGGCTGGCGCGTGACGGCCGAACCAATAAGCGGAACTGAGCTTCGCGCGCTCGTTGGCTGGGCCGACTCGCGCCAGCCGAGCTCGCCTCTTATTGGTCAAGTGTTTTTCGTCAATAACTCGTAAACGAAGCCGCGAAGAAAATTGTTGCAAAGGAAAAAGTTACTTGAAATGATCTCAGGAACCCTTATTTCTCGCAAGAACCATAATTTTGAGAAATCCTGTATAGAAACGTGAACGTATCCAGATCTCCGTAGCAGCGAAAAATGAATTTCGCTAGCGGATCACGATAGCGTGTTTAACTAGCCCTCGGATTCCATGTTTGTCGACTCGAATAGCCGTATCTGCGG